ACTTAATCATTATTTCTCGTCTAGCAAAGGAAAGGAACTTGCTCTTCCAATTGTGAACTTTATGGCCCACTTATCCTGGACATAGACTAATGCAGCAACTTTTGAACGCCCTTACAAAACAGGTAGACCCAAATAAGAACCTGAATTATCCACAGCACTCACATGAAGAAATGCGTAAACCTCATCCTTAACTACTTGCGGTGTATTAAAGGAGAAAAATAGAGATGACTTGTCATAGTTAATATGCTGACCTGAAGCGTTGCAATAGGATTGAAGGAGCTCTTTTATGATGCTGCAGTTCTTCCTATCAGCATGTAGGAATGAGATTGTATCATCAGCAAACAGGCAATGAATCAACATTGGACAATCAATAGTGATTTTGATTCTTGTAATGTCTCCGTTTGCAACATGGTTAATTAGGATAAGAGATAGCACTTAGTAGCAATAATGAAAAGATATGGGGATAGTGGTCTCCTTGTCTCACCCCTCTTTCAGGCTGTATACGAGCAATATTTTACCCAAAACCTGGATATTAAAGCAGGGACACATAACAATTTCACGATCCATTAATCCAAATTTCACAAAAGCCCAACTTTGTTAGGACAACCTTAATGAAGCCCCATTCCAATCTGTCAAAAGCTTTATTATATCCATTTTAAAGTCAAAAAACAATCATTCCCAGTTCTGTGTAATTTCAAAAAATGGAAAACCTCATGAATTAAGATTATATTATCATGTATAAGACGTCCTGGGATAAAGGCTCTTTCACTTGGAGACACATAATCACCCAACATATTCTTAAATCAATTAGCTAAGACTTTTGAGAGGGGCTTTGAAGGCAAAATTACATAAGACTTATTGGCCTAAATTGGCTAATCATTTCAGGCCTTTCAATCTTATGTATAAGAATTAGATTCGTTTCATTCAAGGAACCGGGATCTTCATCTTTAAAGAGGATATTGCCTTTGGGAGGTTTGTTTCTCTAATCTCACATTAAAAAAAACAAACAATATGACGGGGCTATGTAATTTCTAGTTCTCCGTCATATAAACTTACCTCATCCATACCTCATCTTTGATGAGAGATTACTCTCAGTTTGTGTTTTTTTGTACTTGTTCAAAAATAAATCAATTTACGGGTTATGTCTGGACAATCTAGTCCATTGCCTTCTTTAAAAAAAATTAGCATATTGACTTTCAATTTCAATGACCCCTTGCCCCAGTTCCTCACTATCACCTTTAACCTTCCTAATCATTCTCGCCCCTACTGTGTGAATACAAGTGGAAGATTCTAGAGAGCAGTGGTTAGAAAGGGCTGAGCGGCATACAAGTGGAGCTTTACTCAGCATCAATAAGCATCGCCAATTGGATTGAATGGAGAGGCAATGAAAGGATCCAAGTATGCAAGAGTGCAAGATTGGATAACGGAGAGAAAGTGAACTCGCCTGGTGGTGGTGATCAACCAGGGCCCAGAAGAGAAGACACGGAGGTGAGTGTGGTTGTGTAGGGTTCTTAGTTTTAGCTATACAACAGATTTGAGGCATGGGGGAGGTTTGATTACTAAAGTCAAGGTTTAGCACTTATCTTGTTTTGGTACAAGCTATTGAATTTTAAATGATTAGGAATGTGACTAGCCATGTGATTGAAAAAAAGGTATGAGTTTTACATAGTGTTTGGTATTGGCATGCGATTAAAAGAAGGGTCAATGGCAAAAATATGCATACATATTTTTTTCCAATGAAACCCATTATTCTTAAGTAAAGGCAGTGTAAGAGTGCCCATAATGTTGATAAAAATAGGTGTAATTTAACTAACATCCATTAACGTTAGCCATTAAAAAAAGTTAACATAAATGCAAAATACTCATTAACTTTTTATCCAGGAGTTTCTGATATCTTTAAATCAATAATGATACATGAGTATCATGAACTTTATAAAAGACGCAATATAGTCAAATTGACCTTACAAGATCCTCACCATTTTTTTCAAATAAAAAAGGATTACAAACCACAAGGTTTACACTAAACGGGATCAAAGAAGGACTTCCCTCTCATTATCTACCATTTTAGTACAATAGTAGGAGTTGATCGAAATAATCCACAAACCTAAGTAGTCCTGGGCTTTACTAGCAAGCAAATGATCAGCACAATATTAAAATTAGGTTTCTCTAAAGAATCTTCAAAAGACCTTCTAGTCTTTACAAAGAAGCAATTTAACCTTATCAATCAAATCTTTATATAGATGCTCATGAGTTACTAGTCCTTTGTTGGATGAGATTTAGAGCTTAGCACAATCAGTGAATATCCTCACCCTGCGATAACCTCGATCTCTCCCAGCAAAGATTTGGCCATATAAGATTCCAGTATCCCATTCATCTTCTACTTCACTCCATAAATCCTTCCTCCTCCCTATCTCATGTTCTTGCTTTGATGACCTCAATGATCTTGTCCTCTTCACTAACGCCACAATTGTTGTCACCCATTCCATTTCCACCTCTAGCTTAGGGCACCAAAGATCCTAAATACAAAATGCTTTCCTCTTCCTCACCATTTCCTCTTCCTAATCACCTCCTGCTTTACATCTCTGTAGATTCTCAACATTTGACACTCTAATTGGTTTGTGCTGAATTCATTGAAGAATAGTGCAATTTTTGAGTAAACAACACAAATCTAGAACTTTATGGAGGGAGGGTAGCCGAAGAATGAGAAGGAGCTAAAAGAGATAGGTTTTATGGCAAGGAGACTAAAGGAAAGGTGTCACTATAGGTGGAAGACATCACTAGTATGGAGGAGGAAGAAGTAATGAAGATAGGGATGGGTTGAAGTGCAATTTGATCTAAAAATTTCAATTCTAGAATTGATTTTTTATATTAGAGGATGATGGTATTGGATAATCCAGCCTAGCCCATGTAGGTTAATTGATATTGAGATTAGAATGCTAATCACCATATACCAACTTAAAAAGTTGGTATTACCCAATCTCAACCCTCCAATCCTACAGACCAAACAAGGCCATGGTTAGTAGCTTATTAAGGATTTTCTTAGAGAGGTTTGTAGGAAGGAGGGAGAGGAATAAATAAATAATTTAACCATCCAATCGTCTTCCATCCTAACAATAAGAAGAGGTCTCGTTGGTTTAAGAATCGCCTTCTCAAATTATTATAAAAACTCTCTTTAAACTTCATTGCTCTAGCCATGAAGTTCTTTAATTCTTTTTTGACCTTCTCCATCCTAATCTCTATATTAGCAAAACAAGGTACAGCCTTGTTTGTTTTCTTTTACTTCTTCTAGATTACAATATAAGATATTTTCTAAAAGCCCTACTTAAAATATAAGGCATTGAGTTGTTTTTATAATTGTTTTTTCAATTATACTTCTATTTCATTTAATATTCTTTTTGGAAAAATATGTATTGGAATCATCATTAAGACACTTATATAAAGTATTTAATGACATATAATTGGAAAGATATACAATTTCTTAAAAGATTAAGATTCCATCTAATTTTTAAGAATTTTGAAACAATACCAATACCTTATATTATGGTCTAGAAAGAATACAAACTAAAACTCTTGACTTATATGGAGTCATATACATTGAGTGTAAAATTGAATGGGCTAGACCAAGTTGAATCATAAATTAGTGACTTAATAGCTTTGCCAACATGGTCCTAAAAGTAAGCTGTGGCTTTTTTCTAACTCGAATAGCCCAGTTCCAATATGTCAACCTAGTAGTATTATTGGGTGGCTGTGTTATATTTTATTATTATTTCTCTTTCAATAGGGTCATGTAGGATTAATTGGCATCACTTGATGAATCATTTAGTTTGGTCATTAAACTAAAAATTTTTTTTAAAATAATTAATATCATTTAAATATATTTTTATAAAATTAATATTAGAACAAAAGTAATTAAAAAAATGATTACTATTGCCAATATTTATATAATATTGATTAAAACAATTTTAAATTTGGAAAGAGATTAAAAAAATTAATGATAAGAAACTAAAAAGATAAAAAAAACAAATTCATAATAATTAAACCAAAAATTATACAACAACATATTATGGGACATTTTATATCTACTAATAATAATATAATAATAAAATATAATAATTTACTACAACTACATGTTAGAGATAAAATAAAATAAATAGCTGACTCAATGATCTTATCGTCTATGGTGAAGCTAAACACATATGAACAACTCATATAATGTAAGTGAAATGAAAGTTGCAAATTCAGAGTGATATTATATTATTAATAAAAGTTATAAATTTTACCTATATCAATATTATTTTTTAAGTGACAGTAATTTATTTTCTCTACATAAAATGCTCTTGTTGGGGCTTGGCATGATAGAATTTGACTCTTGCCTGGTTTATTCCGAGATGCCCAAATGGCTAGGGCTGGGCTGGGCTGGCTGGATGGGGTGGGGTGTCCGGGCTGAGGCAATGTGAATAGTCCTCCAGCTCTAGCATAAAAACGGCGTCGTTTTGCTCACTAAACAAAGAAAAAAAAACTAATCGAACGGCCGAATCCTATCCTGCTCTCCGACGGCGAAGCTTTTCTTCTTCCTCCTTCTGCTCTCCTCGGCTCTGACGGCTAACTCTCTTCTTCCTCCAGCTCTCTGACGGCGTAGCTCGCGGACTCGTGCTACTGCGGCGCGTCTACTCTCTCCTCAACGGCTTCGTGAAGCTTCAAGCTCGCCGTCACTCTCCCTCTGTTAGGTAACTTTGGTTCATATCTCTCCCTCTGCCTCATTTTTTTTTTTAAAATTTTTCTTGGTTGTCTTTTATATTAGTTTGTGATGACGATGGAGTTAAGCGTGAGTTTGATGATCGAATATTTGTTCTGAGAGCTTTCAATCTCAGCAAACACACGCTGCAACTTTCAATTTGAACATGTGGGTTTTTTATTTAAATATTACTTTTTTTAACTAGCCAAATATAAATAATTTTGTATATTTTAGTTAATTTACATTATTTTATCCGTGATCACTTTGAACCCGAGTTGATCGGGCTTGTACAACTGACCTGAAGCCAGTGCCGCCATTGGTTCAAGGATCCGGTCTTTAATACCTTATTCATATATTATTTAGTTCTTTCATCGTTGTCTCTAGATTTCTCTAATCTTTTGAAAATCGAGGTAGGGCTTTCTGTTTTTGTTTGATTTAGAAGAGGGAAAAATAGACATGACAAAGTAGCCGATGGTTTTATGAGGAAAGGGGTAGTTTGATGTCATATTATAGTTTGTAAACCTATATGAAGTCCAATTTTTGTCATTCAGTGGTACTTGATTGCTTATGGTTTGTATGTTGAGTGTACTTAAATGATTATTACTGAGGATTTTTCTGATACAAATTTTGGACTTCAGTGGTACTTGATTGCTTATGGTTTGAGTAGGTATTTTTAACTTGGGTCCTTCTGAGGTCGGTTTGGCAAGATTGTAAAATTAGGATGAGCTTGTGTTGTGTTAATTGGGCACTCGTTTCATTTCAAATAGCATCTGACTTTCTATACATTTGTTGGTGCTTCAGTTGGACATTAGTTTTCGTGCATGATTCTTCTATCTATAATGGCCTACATATTTCCTTGTTGATCTTTTATGTTATAAGTGAATTTGTTATAATTTTTCCCAATTATATATTCTGTGTTATCTTTATGCAGGTTTAAAGGTTTCAATTGGGTGAATATGTCTGGTGAAGAGGAAGAAAATGCTGCAGAGCTTAAAATTGGTGATGGTAATCATGTTTTCTCTTGCTGTCACTTTCCAGTTTCAGCAACTTCTAACTTAACAGATTGCTTCATCAAGCTGCTTTGACTAAAGTAGAGTTTCGGCATGCCCTTGTAGTTATCTAGACATTCGTTGTTTGACACAGTGTGTTATAACTGAGAATATGATCTTCACCTACTTGCCATAGAGCTAGTTTGGGATGTTACATACTAAAGTTGAGTTGTCCATCTCCAGCTGAGTCAGTTCAAACCTGAAAGCTTTTGTATTTATTGCTCATTTTTCAATTCCTTGGAAATTTAATCATTCTACATCATAATCATAACCAAAGTTGAAGATTCTTTCTTTTTTTTTTTCTCCTGATTAAAAAATAGAAAAACCAAAGATAAACCTTTCTATCTTTTGTATTCGATTTGAGAAATTGTTCTCTATATCCCTTGGAGTGGAAATTTCTCAAATGGATGAAATCTGTCTTTCCTGGCATGCCTTATTTGGATAATGACATTGGATTTACATATCTTTGATCTATGGTGTGTTTGATCATGATCTATTGTGTGTTTGATCATGAGATTGGATTTACACGTCTCTGATGCTTGGTTTTATAACAGATGGCCTCTGTCTATTCAAATTTTGTGTTGTTAAAAGCATGTCCAAAATGCTAGGCAAAGCAAGGTTTGTTTTTAATGCATCAGATTCACATGCCAAGGAAGGAAGGAAAGAAGCCAAACAGTGAAACTAGATACATAAAAATGGAAAATTAGATTATGCAATGGGCTAGAGTGTGACAGTAAAGTCAAAGATGCTGGGCTCAGTGTCTAATGTGCTGAAGCAAGGTGCTGAGTAGGTCCAGCAGATTCATCCCCTCTCACATCATGAAAGGTGTTGCCTTTGATGAGGCACCACAAGGTGAGTGCCTTTTCACTCACCTTGGGTGCGTTACTTGTGAAATAATCAGCTTATAAGCCCAGGCCGGAGAACTCTAAAACTTGACCCGAAAAGTCCATCCCATCCTTTTATGGTTTATAGAGTTGGGTAAAATTCTTTAAGGGTTTTATGAAAAACAACAAGAACAAGTAGTCCTATCTTATTAGGTGAGGTCAGCTACATGGATTGCATTACATCATTGTGTTCTATCATTGATTAAGGTTTTAAGAATGTTGTTAACTAAAAGGTTTTGATCAACAATTTTTATAAGTGTCCTTTTTGGCCTTCCTCTTCCCTTTTTACAGGGCTCAAAATTATCTGTTCCACTTTCTTCTTTACCTGGTTTTATAAAATAACACCTAAAAAAAAAAATTGGGGACTGCTATTTGTTTACAGAAGCTAGTCTAGAACAGAAAGCGCTGTGCAGAGGAATCAAGAAAGATGTTCAAGAGTTGAAGGATACATTGATATGGATCCAATAACGAAAGAGAGGAAAGCAATGAGGTTTATGGATCTGAATCTGATGGTTTTAATTCAGATGACTAATTTGATAGACTATTAGACTTTTTTTTTCATGTCTTTAAATAATTTTTTTTTTAATGTAACTGGTGAATTTTGTCTATTTTTATTTTGTTAATGGGCCATGATTGTCATGGCTACTTCATTTATCTTTTTCTTTTTCTTTTTTTCAATTCCACATCTTTTCTTATTTTGGTACTTTGATTTAGTGAAGTTTGTGCTTTCGTGCTGCCTCTCCTCTAAGTTGTCTTAGAGGTTGAGCATCTTAAAGGGAGAAATGACGTTGTGGGTGACTTTCTGAAACCTTGGGGAAATTTTGACATTTAGGTATTACACAAAAAAACACATACAATATTACACAATGCACGTAGCTAAACAAACATCTAATAAGACAAATACATGCACCCACAACATACTTGATCACACACATGCACATCATCAGCAATCAAACATGTATGTAGATGCATGCCTGCATGAACACAGGTATATACATGGTGAGAGTAGAGATCCATTGACAATATCATTAATCGAAAATTAATCTTACACTATTAAAAAACTTTCTATCAGAAGAGTTTCTCACATTTTATTATCAATATTAATATAAAACATGAATATATCGCAAACACAATATTCATAAGCCATGAATTGTGCAACTTACTTCTTGGAGTCTGCATGGGTTGCACTAGTTCAAAAGTTCCTAAGATTGAGATCACGCTCATAAAATTTTATATCAATCAAGAGATGTTCTGAACCCCATCTAATTAGCTTAAAGTTTTACAAATGTAGGAACTATTGGCTAAACAATTTCTTGATATATTGCCCCCTCCCCTAAAATTAGGCATGCAATCAAATGTCTGATTGTTGTTTTAATGTTTCATTTGGGTGTGTCCTTTCACCTTCCGCGGCATTTAAAAATTGCTGAAATTCTTAATTTGTTTTTTAAAAGCTATATGATAGATAATTAATATATATCTTCGATTGAATGAAGTTGTTTCACAGCAGGATATCTTTATTATTGTGTCACATTTCATATTTGTCAGAGTTTTTGAAGGCAAAGTGCTTGATGAACTGTGAAGTTGCATTAATTCTTGAGCACAAGTATGAGCAGCTTCAGCAGACTTCTGAAGATCCTATGAATCAAGTTTCTCAGTGAGTATACCTACACCAAGTTTACTGTGTTTCATGAAAGGTCAGGAATAAGCTTCTTAAGGGAGCTATTCATTTTAGATCTCAGGGAAAGGCCATATATAGCTTGGCTTGCATCCAATTCCCCCAAGATATTTTCTTAACCACTGATGGAACTAAATGATCCATTGGAAAAGGGCATCTAAGTCACCCTTGAACTTTAATCATGTTAATGCTACATATCATGTCTTCTGACTTGTGTATCTGTAGCATGCCAATTGCCAATAGTAACAATTGACATCAAGAAAGATTGAGTTGCTGGTAGAAAGCTTTTTGGCACATTATATGGTAAACTGTTTTTCTCCTTTTCTCAGGGTATTTGAGAAATCATTGCAGTATGTGAAGCGCTTCAGCCGCTATAAAAATCCTGATGCTGTTAGACAAGTACGAGAGTATCCTTGAAAACTATGTTGAATCTGACTTACAGTTCTGTTCTGTCTGATACACGCACCTTTGATCAAATTATATTAGTGTCTATATCATTATTTGTTTTCACCATCCTTTTTTTTTTTTTTTTTTTGCATTCATATCCTGTCTGACTATCCTGTCATCTGGCTTGAATCTAAAATCTCCATCTTCAAATAATGTTGTCATTTGTCATATCAACAATTAACGACCAAGAAAATGTCCAGTATTTTTACCTTGAGTTCAATGATTATCGCATTCTTGTCTGTATCAGTTAGAGAATTTTAAATCTATGCTAGTCATTTGTTCATATGAAGTTAATAATGAAAATCTTGAAATTTCATATAAACATCTCAGTTGTGATCTTAACTGATATACAGAATTCTAAGTAGATATCAGTTGGCTGAGTTTGAGGTAATGAACCCTTTCCCTTCATAGGATTTGTTCAGAAAGAAAATTCTCATATTAAAATAAGGGAAATTTTAAATGTTTTGATTTAATGCAGCTGTGTGTCCTTGGAAATCTTTGCCCTGAAACAGTTGAGGAAGCTATTGCAATGGTGCCTTCCATTAAGGTAATTACCTTTTGCTTCCCCACCATCTTCCTGCTTCTACTTTCCTTAGAGCTCTTGTTGCTTTAATAATATGGTTCTTGAATCGTTTACAGGTGGCCTCCAGAGCCCTAGTAATATATTTTTGCTTTAATCAACCTGATTTGAAGTTGTTTCTACTTGAAATAGAATAAGCAAATAATATTTTATCCAGTCCATCATCTGATTGTGTAAAATGAAATATGCTGTCTCTGGAATTACTCATTAGTAGACTTATTTGCAGATTTTGCTAGAAGTGTAACTGCTAAATCTAAGTTTGTTGCTTACTACTTCATTCTTTTTACCTCCAGACAGAGAGGACGGTCTCAGGATGATGATGCGATTGAGAAAATGTTGAATGACCTGTCGCTTATCAAGAAATTTGAATAGATACCAGTCCAATTATCCCCAGAAGTTATAAACATTCTGTGTTGTGTAAGATTTTATGTATAATATGGTGAACCCCGGACTACGAACGAGGATGTTTTTGTAGTATTTATACCTATCTTGTGACTTCAACAAACATTTATGTATACTATGGTGAGGAATTCAAGGCTATCTTCCACTAAGACACAAATGATCGTCATTGGATTTAAGCTGCTACACAGGACAAAGTGCTGCTACATCTCATAACTCTGCATATCAGCTCTGTCACTGTCAGCATAGGGCTTATAGCAGAGAATGTAATATCTGGCTGAAGATTTATAAACATTGAGGAAGCACTTACTGCTACTGCTTCATCTCTTTCAATGATGTAGAACAGCAACTCTTTTTAGAAACGTTCATTGCATACTGATTGTCGTTCATTTCAACTCCAAAGATTTGGTTGTTAACAGAGCACAATGGTGATGTTTAATTTATGAACAGACCCTACCTAGTCAAATAAGGTTATTTGTTGTTGTTGTTGTTGTTGTTGTTGTTCATTGCATAGTGATCCTTCAATATTTATCCTTTCATGTTTCAGAGCTTCCTTACATTTTTGTTTTTTTTGAATGGGAATGGAATATCGCTGAACAAATATGTACAACATACAAGAGCAAAGAGGAAACAGATTAAGCAGCATGGTCGCTAGCGTTAACTAGCTTGCGCGTTTTAACGATGAGGAGTTTCATGTTCATCCATGAAGATTTGCCTATTCCTGTTTGTCCGGAGTTTCAAACAGAGGGTGCCGCATCCAAGTCTCCAATGCGTAGCCGTGAGCCATGAATTTAGGTTCTAGATAATCCACTCCTTGAAGGGTATGGTAAAGAATGTTGGTGATTCTACATGGGGCAGGACCAAATTCCAACAGGCGCAAGCGGTGGGGCAATGTCGGAGTATGTGGTTAATGTGATAGAAAATATGGCAAATGTTATTCTAGAAAAAAAATTGTTTTTACATTATTTAGTATTTTGTAAGTTTCCTTCTAAGAAAGGAAACCTGACTTGTTTTTATTTTTTTTTTTTTACTCTTTATATATTTTAAATCGCAAGTTGAGCTTTTCTTATAGGAAAAAAACCTCAAGCTTATATTTATTTTATGAATGAATGAATTGCTGAATTTTGTAATGTTTCTCAGCTCTGCGTCTCTCTCTCCTTCTACTCCCCCTATCTATTAGTTCTGCGTTCCATAAAACTGTTCTTGACGCAAGGTGAGAAAAATTAACTTGAGATGTTCCAAGTGTTCTTCTTTTGACTTGCTAAAAACTAGTATGTCATCAAAGTATACCATCAAAAACTTTCTCAAATATAAGCGAAGGAGGTGAGTCATTACTCTCATGAATGTACTTGGGGCATTTGATAACCCAAAAGACATGACAAGCCATTCAAACAACCCATCTTACGTTTTAAAAAGCAGTGTTCCACTCATCTCTAGGTCTAATCCTGATCTAATGATAATCACTTCTGAGGTCAATCTTTAAAACCAACTAGATCCAGACACTAAATCAAACATGTCCATCCAGACACTGCTTGTCTACACACATTCTCCATGAGCCGTCTTTCTTGGGGTTAAAAGAGCAAGTACTGCACAAGGACTTATACTATGTTAGATATAACCCTTTTTCCAACAATCCACTGACTTGTCGGTTAAGCTCTACTCTATCTTTAGGGTTCATCTTGTAGTGCGGTAGATTGGAGAGTTGTGAACCTGGAATGAAATCAATTGCATGTTTGATCTCTCTCATTGGTGGTAATTCAGATGGAAGCTCGTCGGGAGTGATATCCCGAAATTGTTGTAAGAGCTGTTGCACTTCCTCTAGCATTTCTGAAGTAGTAAGCAATTCGTTGCGAGATCTTGGATAACAAAAATAAACATGATCGTACTCTCTCTACTTCTTGTACAAATTGTTTTTCTGTCAGAAGATGCAAATTGTGGGTTTTGGGTTTGTGGCCCTTTGATTTACTTGAGACTTTTGCCTTCGTTGTCAGGCTTAGCAGGACGTAACAGGATCGTCTTGCCTCCATGCTTAAATGTATAGGTATTCTCACAACCATGATTGATAACATTGTAGTCATAAAGCCACGGTCGACGACCAAGTAAAATATGAGCAACATCCATTGGAAGAACATCACAATAATCTCTTCTTTATAGTCACCTAAGTGAAGAGGAACGCAACATTGTTGGGTGACTAGTAAAGAAGTTTTGTCGACCCATGCAACACGAAAGTGTTTAGGTGAGGTTCTGTCTTGAGATTGAGTCGGGCTACTCCTTAACTAGAAATAACGTTTCTAAAACTCCCTCCATCAATCACAAATTTGCAAGCTTTATCTCCACACTTCACAAAAGTATGGAAAATACTTGTTCGCTTTCATGAATCACTAGGTAGAGGGACAGATAGAATGCATCGCATAACTCCAACTCGACGTGTCTCACACCCATATTCATCAATGATGATGTCCTCATCGACATCTGAAGGACACTCACTGGATCTACGACAACGTCAGCATTTGCATTGTCTTCCTCACCTTCATATTGTGAGTCAATAACTAGAGTACGCTGTGGGCATTTCGATGCAATATGACCCTTTGAGTGACAACGAAAACACTTGACAAAGGAATTGTTATGGCGGGAAGCAGGAACTATAGCCTCACTAGGCTGCTTAAAAGTATTACCCCTTAACCCAATTGCTTGAGTAGGTGTAAAAAACGAGCTAGGCCTAGATGTAAGTGCTCCTGTTGGTCGTACAGATAGACTGTAAGTTCGTGCTTGTCTAAACTGATTGCTCTGCATATCAATACGCTTTGCAGATGAGTACTGTGACAGAGACTCTACTTTCAAAGTCTTATGATAAGCTTCTTCAAGAGACTCTAGAAAGTTTAACTTGAGCTCTTTTTGTATATATGGCTTGAGAACATTAACAAACTTGGTAATGGTGCGCCATTCCTCTTCATCCACGTCACATCTAATCATAAGGTCATCAAATTGAGAAATATACTCGGAAGCTGTGGAGATTTGCCTCAAATTAAGGTATTTGTCATATAGTTGACTCTTATAATGAGTCGGTACATATTTTTCTTTCAGCTTGGCCTTCATTTCATCCCACGTCTCAATCAGTAGATAACCTTGTCGCTCAATATTCCTTTGGACATTTTGCCAGTATTTCCTAACAGATCCCACGAGCTTCATCTTCGTAAATCAAACTCGCTGAATATCTCTCATGCCATACCATTCAAATAATCTTCCATGTTGGCTAACCAATCAGGAATGCACTAGGATTCAATCGTCCATCAAACTCAGGAGCTTCAACTTTAACCTTTTTGGTGATGTCATCAATATGTGTCCTTCTAAGGCCTTCTCTACTATTCCTATGGACTAACTGATATGGTCTATGATGTTGTTCTTCAGGCCCTTGCCCATCCCAAGTATCATCTATGTCATTAGAATGATGATTGGTAAACTCATGAGGAAATATTCTACTATGTCTTTCACCCATAGCTCTAGGGGAATGACCAATCCTAAGGGAATTACCTCTAAGTTGATTGCGGACTGAAAATTGTTCATTTTTAAGACTTGACTCTCCTCTAATGATAGGTCTTTCAAGTATCCCTTCAGTTGTTTTCCCTGTATCTTGTCTGTATGTCAACTGAATTGCACCCATTATCTCTTCAAATTTATTGTCCATGAATTCTTTAATTTCATCTAGCCGCTGGTCCACATATGCTCTTTGAGTCCTTTCAGATTCCTCAAGATGATTTTAGGTGATTTGGGAGTTATTAGCCATGGCAGATTTTAAGGCAGTAAGTTTTCTTGGTCTAATAAAGCTTGCTTATCATATAAATCACGAATGGTCATACAATGACAAAGATGGTATGGTAAAGTGCAAGTTTGGAGTGGATTTAATAACCTAAGGAAGAAAGGCCCCCAAGTTGCCCTCACCTAAATAGGTGAAGTCCCTTTTTAACAACACTAACCCTTTGAGAATTCAAAAAATTCCACAAGGATCGTATGCTAAATAGGTAACAACTCGAGTGAAGTCTTCACAGAAATCTTCGAAGGTTCAAAAACCTTTCAGGAAAACCGTTGGAAACTTCAACTAACCTAGGGTAATTTTTAGACACGGGTATAGGGCAGGATTGTGTGTGAGGTAGGTGTCTTAAGTTATATGAACACTGCTATTAAAAGTCACAAATTAACAACATAGTGATCAATGTAAATTTTCCTTTATATATATATATATATATATTTTTCAAAATATTAAAACACGATTAAAAAAAATAAAAATAAAATAAAAATTGCAATGCTCAAAGAAACCAAAGTACCACACAACAAAGATTTCAGAACTAGCTATAAATGAAAAACCTCCCTTTAAGAATCAAATAAGTCAGTTAAATGAGAGGGTCGTCGGCCTTACTAACATTGTTTTAGGAGCCCAAAACAAAAAGTTTTACCCCCAAATAAGTTTTAGATGATGACTTGCGCCCCTCAGCTCCTTCAGAGTGGAAGAAATTCTGCAAAAACACACAGAAAACACTGAAAATCACGTTCTGGCGGTGGACTATACAGACGGCACATGCGACAACATGTGAAGACCACGCGCAAAAGCTCCACCGGCGCGTGACAGCGCGTGTGGCTTTGGGCAGAGGTGGTTTTTTTAGTTTTGACCGGATTTTCCCTTCTGAGCACGATGGTAGCGTCCGTTTTTGGATCTGACGTCGAGAAATGTGATTCTAGGTGCTAGTAGCGTGAACAGGTTCCCTGAGAGTTTTCCTTCGATCTCCGGCCGCAAAAAACAGCCTAAGAACGTTCAGAGCCTTGCTTTGATACCAAGTTGATGTAAAACACACACTCACATTAATTTGAATAGAATAGGATAAGGGAGAAGAAACAGAATCAGAGAGTGAGCGGTGAAGGGGGAGCAAAAACAGAGGGGAGAGATGACAAAAAACAAAGAAAGCAGGGGAAGAGGAGTGGAACGCAGAACTGATAGATAGGGGGAGTAGAAGGAGAGAGATGCAGAGCTGAGAAACATTCACAAATTCAGCAATTCATTCATTCAAAATCTAAGAACTCCCTTACATGTGCTGCATGGTGACTTTCTATAGAAGCCACAATTAAGGTTTCCTTCTTATGAAGGAAACATAAAATGAAATAAAATATAAGCTTGAGGTTTCCTTACCTAAAAGAAAAGCTCAACTTGCAGATTTAAAATATATAAAGAGTAAAAAAAACAAAAGCAGGTCAAGTTTCCTTCCTTAGAAGGAAACTTACAAAATACTAAATAATGCAAAAACAATTATTTCTTTCTAGAATAACATTTGCCATATTTTCTATCACAATGTCTTTGGTGTCAACATTACAAGCAGAGCAGGAAGTATCTTTAGAAATTCTACCGCATTGTCTCAACATGATGAGCAGTCGGTTCTTCATCATTAACCAAAGAAAAGTTTAAATACATTGCAATCCAAGCCACTTCCAGATCCATTTCTAAAAAAACTTAGGTTCATTCCAGGTAAGCTCTTGTATGGTCGCAAATACACAAGCGATAGAGAATTCTCTATTCAGGTTGAGATTCCAATATCAGGTGTTAGGGTTGGTGCTGGTTGGTGGCAGAGCAATTGATGTGAGCTTGAGGTTGATATTTGATGGAAGGAGGCTTTGGAATAGTGACCATTTCCATTGACCAAATTCATTAATGTAGTCCTTAACAAGCTGTTGGAGGATAACATCAGGAATGTCGGCATATGTGAGGAACTTAAGAGGCCCCATATCACCAATCCAGTTGTCTTGCTAGAATTGGATTTTATTACCATTTCCCAGGCACCAGGTAGGTGCAATTTAGAATCAGGCCATACTTTAGCTATTCCATGCCAGAAATGAGAAGCAGATTGAGTGCGAAAGATGTACTGAGTACCTTTTGGCCAATTGTAATTAGAACGGAGTATGTACCCAAAATTTGTCCGGTCGATGAACCATATTGAATACACTCCAAATGAAGTTTCTGATGATTTTTTCAATTGTTTTGCAACAAGATGTTGGTAGAAGGGAAGTTTGCATTGCATAATAAGTGAGGGCACTAAGAGTGGCTTTTGCAAGAGTTATGTGTCCAGCAAGAGATAAAGTGTTGGCTTTCCAATAAGTGAGTTTCTGTTGGACTTTCTCGATGAGGTACCTGTATGTGTCTTTAGTTACTTTATGGTGGAGCAAGGGTACCCCTAGGTATTTACCAAGACAATCAGTTGATTTGAATTTAAGCAAATTGCATACCTGGCTTTGCTCTCTTATGGTTACATTTTTGGAGAAGTGTATCCTTGTTTTGCTTTGACTAACCAATTAACTAGAGGCACGACAAAATTCTACTGGCACATTTTACATCAGGAGTATCAGCTCCGTGGAGACCTCTCCAAAAAGAATCAAGTCATCGGTAACGAAGAGGTGAGATAATGGTGACCCTTTTCTCCTAATCATGATAGTGGCCCAGTTACTCTGTTAAACTTCTTTGATTTTTTTTAATTAAGAAAAGAAGGCAGGGCCCAAATGCAGAAAAATTAAGGGAATTTAGAGGAGTTTAATCTCATTGCACTAGATCCCTCAGAAATGGGGGAGCCGAGTCAAAGAGAGCTGAATTAGAAATGCCCAAACTTTGCCAGAGAGTCAGCTACCATGTTTTGTTCATGAGGAGCAAAGTTAACACTAACACTCTAGCTATAATTGAGTAGGTATTGGATCTCCAAGAAAACAAGGCTTCTACTATAATGGTGTTCAGAATAGTCATTAATTAAGTCCCTCAAATTTTTAGAGTCAGATTCAATAATGATTTTCTTGTAGCCCATGTCCTAAGTCAAATGAAGGCTCTTATAAACAGCCCGTTCTTCAACTTCAAAAGGGCTGCATTAACTAATAGATGTAGAGAAACTGACTATCCAAGTACCATCACTATCTCTGAGCACTCCTCTGCAACTAAGCTTGTCTGAATTAACAGTTATTGCACTATCAACATTAAATTTAAACCACGCTTGTGGAGGATGGTTCCATTTATCAGTTGAAGTATCAGCTTCATGAACATGAGATAGAGAACTCCTACTCATCATAAATGATTTCTACGTTTGAAGAATGTTTGC